TCAGATTCTAAACTGGCAAATACCCTGCAGGGCATGACTTATAACCTTTGGAATGATCTCTATTGGTCAGAAATCATTTGTTTCGCTATTTGTATTGTATTCGTATCTTACCTGTTTTCTACAACTTAGTGTCTTTGCTATCATGCTTATAAAATGTCTGGGTCTAGGGGCGCCTGGGTGGCTCAGTCGGTTAAGCGGCCGACTTCGGCTCAGGTCATGATCTCGCGGTCCGTGAGTTCAAGCCCCGCGTCGGGCTCTGGGCTGACAGCTCGGAACCTGGAGCCTGCTTCAGATTCTGTGTCTCCCTCTCTCTCTCTGCCCCTCCCCCACACGCACTCTCTCTCTGTCTCAAAGATAAATAAACACTAAAAAAGATTATACAAAAAATAAAGAAAAAAGAAAAAAGAACAAGAAGAAATTGAGGTCCAGGGTGTGGACTTGTCCAAGGTCACACAGCTAGACCTGGGGGAGTGGCAGAGGCCAGCTCTCACTGACTCCCATCCCCAGGTCCCCTGGGCAGCTTCCCTGGCCCTGCCCCAGGTCTGGGTTCCAGGTCTGAGTTCTCCACGATAGGCAGGAATTGACTGTATCCTGGTGGGGCCTGAGGGGGAAACCCACTTTAGCTGGAGCTGGATGGATATCATAGAGTCCTGAGGAGATTCACCATGGTTTGGGGGTTATCTGTGCTCAAGCAAGTGAGAGCTGGGACCCTAGAGCCTCTCGTGGCATCCATCCCCCAACACTTGTGAATTTTGCAGTGAGACACCCAGAAAGCTCAAGGCTAGAGGAAAAAACAGCAACAGACAAGAAGCAGCAGATGGGTTGCCATGGTGATCACCTCCTGGAGCTCCAAGTCTCTTTCTTTCTGAACAGAGATGGGGGCGCAGGGGAAGAACATGGGCACAGGAGAGAAAGCCCAAGTCCTGGCCCTGATCCACCCCGGAGGGACAGCTTAGTGTGTGCCCACTCACCTCCCCCTCCCTGGGTTGGAGGAGGAAGGAGGAGACCATTTGTCAGCTGCCTGCTTTGTGCCAGGCATGGTGTGTGGAAGGTTGTCCATTCATGATCTCATTTAATCCTCTTCCCAGGAAGCCTTTGAGGAGTGTGCTATTATCAGCATTTTATAGAGAGGGAAACAGCAGCACAGGGAGGTGAAGCAACTTACACAGGAACGCACAGCTTGTTAGGAGCACCTGAGCCAATGCTCCAGACCCCTTCCTCTCGGAAGACTAGATACATCCCACCTAGAAATTTCAGGTCCGTTCCAGAGAAGGACAGACGGGAGGGAGGCAGAAGCAGGGGGCAAAGAGGGAATGCTCCAGATCAAACAAGGTGGTGCTAGTCCCCACTTTCTGCCTGGGCACTTGGCCAGTATGTTACCTGGCACCTCGGGCAGGAAGCCAGCCCACGCTCAGGCAGCCCCCAGGCAGCGTGACACCACCATAGCTACAAAGCAAACACAGCAGTGCTCCAGCTCCGGGATGCCATCCAGAGCTCGCTTCGACTCCAATCCACATCAAGGTCTGCTTCAACCCTGCAGAAAACAAGACTTCTGCCTTCTCCCAGAAGCCTCCCCTCGCTGAACCAGAGCGCAGGCCTTCTCCCCCTCCTCCTCCTCACTGCTGTCCCTTCCCTCCTGCCCTGTCTCACCCCCCATCTCCCCAAAGTGTCGGCCACTGTGACATTGACCAGAGCCCAGCTATGGGACAGGAGCTCCTGGTGACTTCGATGAGCCCTGAAGAGCTTGGTGGAGGCCCCAGAGCTTTTGGAAGAGCCCAGCGGTATATTTTTAGCATGAGCCCAGCTCAGTCCTGCCTGCCAGGATGCCCTGCCTTCTCTTCCTCCATCCAAGCTGCAGGGCGACCATGTGAATCGCAGGCCAGACGAGCCCAGGGCCCAGCCAGCCTGCGAGCCTCCCTCGTAGGGCCGAAGGTAGGGGTCAGCTTGCGTGTGTTTGCAAGTGTGGACACAGGCAGAAGCCAGCCAGGGTGCCCGGGCGGGGGGAGCAGGAGCAGTCGTCCCCTACCGAGCCCCGCACCAGCCGGCCCTGACCTCCTAGCCCTGCCAGCTTTGTCCGCCCATCCATTCATTCACTCATTCAACAAGTATTTGTTGGACATTTATTACCTTAGTGCTGGGATGAGGAGCATGAGTGAGGCTAAAGCCTCAGAACTGAACTCCTGACCTTTTCCCCCAGATTGGCTCCCCACTCAGTCTTCCCCATCCCCGTTGATGGCAGCTCCATCCTGCTCATGGCTCAGGCCAAATCTCACATCCAGTCCATCACCAAATCTGTCATTTTGCCCTAGCTCGAAATATGCCCAGAATCCAACTACTTCTCACCCCTGCCACCCTGGTTCCCAGCCACCGTCAGGGCTCCCCTGCGTGGCTCACCTGGGCCACCGGGGCTCCCCGCTCCTGTCTCTGTCCCGACGCCAGCTTCTTCCCTGAAGTCCGAGAGGTGTCACAGAGACAAGTCAGACCATGCCTCTCACGTCGCATGTACGCACCCCGCCCCCACCCCAGAACCTGCGCCCTGGCTCCTCCCCTGCTGCTGGAGTGACCTGACCTCGCACACGCTCTCCACTCACTCCCTCGCAGATGCCAGCTTTTCAGCCAGCCTTCCCTGTTGGTCCCATGTAACTCTGCAGCCCCTCCCGTTCTCCATATTTGTTGCCGAATAACAGGAGATATTTCTTTTCGTTCATTGCCAATCTCCCCACCCTGGAATGTGAACTCCATGAGGGCAAGATTCTGTCTGCTTTGTTCCCTGCTTCTAGATCCTGCCTGGCCCGCAGCGAGGGCTCCTTAAGTAGTTGTGGAATGAGTGAATGAATGAACCATAAAAAAAACAAAAGTGGTCCCTGCCTCCACTCTTGCCATTTCCTGTCTGTTCCCATAGGGGTAGCCACAGTGGTTTTTCTAAAAAAACATACTTCGTCTGTCAAATCTTAGGGTAGGAGTCACTGCCTGAGATGACTTCTCTGGCCCCGGCGTTTGGCAGCTCCTCTGTGCACTCCCTCAGTCCCCCCTCCCCTCGTTCTGTAATTGCCTGCATCCTGGTATTTCTCAGGGAAGGTGCAGTTCTGCAAGAATGGGGGTGTACCTGTCTCAGGAGACGGGTACAATGGCTAAAGGAATGGACTGACTGGATCCAAAGCCTGGCTAAGATGTGGGAATTTAGGCACGTTACCTAACTGCCTGGGCCTCTGCATTCCCATCTGTACAATGGGGACAATAGCAGTACCTTCCTCAGAGTCCCCCTAGGAAAGGAGTAAATGAGCTAACACACTTGCACTTAGAGTTGTGCGAGGTACAAAGTAAGTATAATATGAATGTTAGCCGTTATTGTTCTTTGCCTGGCACAAAACCTGGCCCATGTTTAGTACTCATTAAGTATTTGTTCGATGAATGAATGAATGAATGAATGAGTACAGGGATAGAAGGATGAAAAGCGGCATGAGAACCTAGAGTAATCAGACCAAGCCCCAGGAAAGTCAGGAGGCTTCCTGCAGGAGGGGAGCCTTTGGCTGATTCCTGTAGGATGAGATGGAGTTAGCTGAGTAAGGTGAATGGCAGGGGCAGCAGACAGCAAGAGCAAAGGCCTCTCTCCTGTGGCAAAGCCTGATGCGTCCAGGGAAAGTCAGTCCATCCCTAGGGACAGACACTGTGGGCAAAGAGGCCAGGTTTCCTCTGTGCTGGACATTTTGGGGACATTCTTGGGTGAATGAACCGTGTTCTTCCCTCAGACGGGCTGCGCATGGTGGCTCTCTGGTCAGATCAGTGGCCCTCTCAGATCAAAGGAAGGCCAGCAAGGAAAGGAGGCTGCCACTTGCGGAGGGACCCCATGGGATAGGCCTGGATTTAACCTGCCAACCATCTCTTGGCGAAGATCCTTACTTTCATCTAGAGATAAGGGGACAGAGGCCCCGCCTCATCCAGCTGTTAAGAGGTAGAGGCAGAGTTCACTCCAAGTTGGCCAGTTCCCTGTGGCCTCCCTCCCAGAGGGTCAGCCTGGGGTTCCTGGCAGCCAGTGTCTGTGTCTCCCTCTTCGCCTCGGTGATTCTTCAGTGGATAACATCACCCATTCCTGATTCCCCTTTCAGAGAACAGACGAAGAAACTGAGCAAGGGAACCCCTCAATGGCTGTGGACTAACAGACAGTCAAGTTCAACCTCAGGTAAAACTTACCATATGGACTGGAAGATGAACACCAAGACCTCTCCTACAGAGCTCTAGACAAAGGCAGACCTGGGCACCTGTGAGAGGTGCCAGGAGTGGGCCCCAAAAGGCTGCAGCTAGATGAGATTGAGAGGTGGTGCTGAAGGAGGAGGGACCGATCCTGAGAATCCTTGAGAGCATCTTACCTAACAACACCCACCCCTCCCATCCTCCCCCTGCCTCCCCCCACCCCTTCCTGCTTCACTTTTCTCATCTGTTGACTTTCTCATCAGCTGATTTATAGACTCCCTGCAAACATACCCCCAGCTGGGGTGGCCAGGGGGAAGCTCTAAGGAGTACGGTCAGGAGTTCAGGGTTCAAATCCCTGCTCTGCCACCTCTTAGTTTAGGAAGATACCACTCTCCTCTCTGAGCTTCACTTTTCTTCACCTGTAAAGAATGACAACCTCTTCTGACCTTTTCCTTGGAGGGCGCGTGTGTGAATTCAGAGACTCAGGCTGTGACAGCCTGAGGCAAACTATGAGGTGTGGGTCCTGCTGCTGAGGATTATTGGCCATTGAGGAAACCGGTTTGGAAGGGGTTAAGCCGAGACCCTGCCTCCCAGGCAGGAGCGAATCCAGGCTGGCAGGGGAGGAGCCAGGCTGGGAAAGAGATCTAGTCGGGGCCAGATGCAACCCTGAGAGGGACCGGGAAAAGACACCGGCAGGGCTGCAGGGGGGCCATGGAACAGGGGCGTGGGGCAGGGTCCCTGGCCTCTGCACCAAGATAGCTCCAAGCCAGAGGGTGCAGGACCGGCTGCTAGGGGTGGGGGAGGAGGAGTCGAGCTCCCTGAGCTGGGGGGGACAGCGGCAGTGGGGGGAGAAGACTAGGACCCAGAGCACTCCCGGCCCCCCAGGCGGAGGGCACTGCTTCAGTCGGCCTTGACCTCAGTTGACCCTGATAGCCCACATGGGGCGCAGGGTCTAATTTTAGCTCCAGCCACTAGGCCCACAGCCCAGAAGTGCCCGCCAGTGGGCACAGGGGCGGCCAGGGCTACTCAGGGGCCACTTGGGCAAGGGGAGGATTGGGGAGGCCAGCCTTGCGTGCTGGCCAAGCCACCTCCTGTGAGAGCCCCCACGGGTCCCCCATGGCCTGGCAGACTGCCCACCTCTCCTTTGAGGCCAAGGTCAGGGGGTGCAGCCAGGAGGACAGAAGGACACGGCCTTGCAGTGCGGTCAGGGTTGCATCAGCTGAGCAGTGCCCAGGGGCAGGGGGCCCTGCTGAGAGGGCAAAGGCTGGCTTGGCTGTCCGAAGGCCAACGAAGCAGATTCCTGACTGTAGGAAGGCAAGGCCAGAAAGCCGGGTCCTACCTGGGCTCCTTGTGCCTGGCTGGTGACCTGCTGTGTGACCTCACACAGGCAGCCTGCTCTCCATGGGCCTCAGTCTTCCCATCTACAACAATGAAGACGCTGAACTAGAAGGCTGATTCCAGCTCACCCACAAGCCCCTGCTCCTGCTTTCCCCTAGCCCTGGCTGCGGGTGGCCACATGCAGTCGTGGAGAGGCAAGTCCCTCTGGCTGGCACTCTCGGCCTCTTGGCTCCTCGTCCTCCTGAGAGTCTTCCCCCTTCTCCGCCTGGCAGTGCCTGCCAGACCTTGGGCAAGTGCCCCCCAAGGCTGGCCCCGCTGGCTGGATACAGAGCTCCTGCCGAGTTTCTCCCAGCCTGGCGAACTCCCAGAAGATGCCCCTCAACCTCCTCAAGCACCCCGTGGTGGCGGCTGCGACTGGGGGGCTTGCTTTGACGCCTCGAAGTGCAGGACTGGTGGTCTCAAGGTATTCGTGCACCCGGTGGCTGGACCCATCTCTGCCGCTCACCGCAAGATCCTGGCTTCCATTGAGAGCTCCCGCTACCACACGGCCAGCCCTGAGGAGGCCTGCCTCCTCCTCTTCCTCAGCCTGGAAGTCCCAGCTGGAGAGTGCAGCCCAGTGCCCCAGCAATGGAATGGGGGAAGGAACCATCTGGTCCTCGATCTCCACCCAGCCCCCTGCCCCCAGACCTTCCAGCGGGGACGGGCGATGGTGGCCAAGGCCAGCCCCACAGTGGACACCTTCCGGCCTGGCTTTGACGTGGCCCTCCCGCTTCTCCCTGAAGCCCACCCATTGCGAGGTGGGGCACCTGGCCAGCTGCGACAGCACAGCCCCCACCCCGGGGTGCCCCTGCTAGCCCTGGCAGAGGAGAGGGGCGGGTGGCGCACAGCAGGCACTGACCCCTCTGCCTGTCCCTGGGATGGGCGCTGTGAGCAGGACCGTGGACCCGAGCAGTAAGTGGACCTTTACCCTTGGGGGCTGGGTGGGAAGGGTCTGCAGTGGGAATGAGCTCAGAGGGCAGGGTGGAGGGCAGGATTGAGATGGGATGGGAGAACCGGCCTGGCCTCAGCTGCAACAGGAGGGGATCAGGTTAGACAGAGAGAAAACACCACCAAGAGGGTGCTTTGCCGTAAGGGGTGTCCGAAGTGGATTCTGGAGTCTCCCTTGGGGGAGTCTTTAAAAACAAAAACATGCCTCCCTCCTACTTACTCTTTTTCTCTTACTCCGGTTCCTCCTTCCCTAATATTTTAACATACACATCTATAGTGGTCACTCTGTCCCAAGTTAGAAATAATAGTTACAATAAAATAATACTAACTGCTGTCATTTGTTTGTGTACCAGACGCTAAGCTCAGAGAGGTTAAGTAACTTGTCTGAGGCCATCCAGACAACAAGAGCACAGCCAGTGTTTACATCCAGAGTTGCTTATTTCCAGAGCATTAGAATTCGGAGTTTTAACCAAGAGTTTATGATCAACCCATCAAATGCCTCGGAGCCGTGGAGATTAAGAGCTGGTCACAGATGGAAGTTGCTCCTGTGTCTAACTTGGGGGATTAGCCTCTCAAGGAAACAGCTTTGGGTTACGACAAATATGAATGGGGTCAGACCTCCAGAAGAACTTGCCACCTGGAGACGTATAAGGGGCATGGTGGCCTATGGGACGTGGAGAGTTGTTCAGAAACTGCTCTCTCCCTGGGCTAGTTGGGGTGACACGCTTCAGGTGATGGGGCAGTTAACCCCTAAGCACCCTACCCCTCCTGCACCCCCAGGAGCCCAGCGGTGTCCAAAAGGCTGGTTGAGCAGGCAGGAACCAGAGCCCTTTGGAGGTTGTCCGGGGTCCCTGGGGCAGAGGGTTCCTTCTCCATCTCTGGGGCAGACCCGATTTGGAACCTGTCAGTCTGGTGTCCTTCTGTCGCTCCCTCCCTCAGGTATCTCCCTGTTCTCTGCTAGAACAACATGGGCTATTTTCGGCTCTACCTCCCTCCTAGGAATTCTTCACGTGGCCAAGTTCCATTTTCGCCTCTGCGTCTCAGGGGGTCTCATGGGAATGCAATCACTCTCCCTCCTGAAGGCACATGGCCTCCAGGGAGCCCCACAGCCACCAGTAGGAATGGAATTGCCCTTCTGCCTGGACCCACCCCTAGCAGGCATCCTCAGCAGTGACCTGAAAAGTTGGGGATTCCCCCCCCCACCTCCAGGCACCTCAAACTCAGAGCTCAGACAGAGCTTACCTTCCATGAACAAGTTTCTCTTGCTCGCCAGGGCCCTGCCTCACTTTCTGATTAGGCACTTAGCTATTCTTGATTAGAGGAAATTCTAGCTGACTTTAGTTACTGCTGTATGCAGTTGCTGACTGGTGAATCTGAAAGCTGTTTCAGTCTGAACTGCGTTGAGCAACCGACAGTAAAGGAGCTGCATTCAGTAGGTGAACTGTTGGCTCGCTGAATGTTTACCGATTGATCCAAAATTGGCCAGAACTGGTCAAGGCTTCCTAATCAGTGGGGGCCACCCTCTAAGTAGCATTGTTGATGAGCGCGTTCCCAAGGTGTGATGGCTGGCAGCCTCTGACTGCCCTCTGAACTTCCAGAAGTTCTCTCTTTGGCCTCAGCCCACCTGCAGGGGACAGGACTTATAACCTCCGGAGTAGCTGGAGCCTCAGTTTCCCTGAGGTGCTGCGCAGCTGCCTGAACCAGCCAGACAGTATAGGGACGGAGTGAGAGAGGGAGGCCACCAGCCACGGGGCAGCCCTCGGAGGGTGGCCTGAATAAACAAGTACTGGCCAGAGAAAGAGGCAATTCATAGTCTCTGCCACCATCCCAGGGCCACTGTCCCACATTCACTGGGCGGGGGAGGGGCGGAAGCCAACACGTGGGGAGAGCTTGCTCTGGGCCAGGTGCTGCGCCGGCCACTTTGCACAAGTCGTGCACACTCAAGTACCCTTCAAGGGAGGTATTATTATTCCCATTTCAGGGAAAAGGAAACTGAGGCTCCGAGAGGGGGAGGGAGCCAGCCGAGGCTCTTTGGTGACCAGCTCCTCGATTCACCACGGCCTCCCTCAGGTTTCTGATGGGACGGCTAGAGGGGCAGCGGCAGCGGTGGAGTCTGGGGTTAAACCCTGCACTTCTGGCCACAAAGCCCACATTTTTCCACCTTCGCTGAACAGTCTTCTGTTCCTTTGGAATAAGCCTCCACCCATTTAAATTGTTACTTATTTATTTTTATGAATAGGGAATTCATTCACATGGTACCAAATTCCAAAGGCACAAAAGGGCATACAGCAAAACTCCCTCCCACCCCTGTCTCTGGCCACCCAGTTTTCCTTCCTGGAGCCAAACACCGTTTCTAGCTTCTCTTGTGTCTTTTCTGAGGTACTCTGTGTGTGCACAAACAACACGTATATGTGCTCTCCCCCATTTGGTTTTTTTTTTTTTTTTTTTTTTTAACATAAATTCAGTTCATGTTTTCAAGTCCCCTGGCCTTTCTCCTTTGGATATAGGAGGCGCGGTGCCTAGGGCCCATGACACTTTTAGGGACCCATGAAAACATTTTCATTTCTTTGAAAATCAGAAGGAAAAAATGAACTTTTAAATAGAAGAAAATGTTTTGGGGTGCATGGGTGGCTCAGTCAGTTGAGCGTCTGACTCTTGATTTCAACTCAGGTGGCTCAGTCGGTTAAGCGTCCAACTTCAGCTCAGGTCATGATCTCCCAGGTTGTGAGTTCGAGCCCCACGATGGGCTCTGTGCTGCCAGCTCAGAGCCTGGAACCTGCTTTGGATTCTGGGTCTCCCTCTCTCTCTGCCCCTCCCCTACTTGCACTGTGTCTCTCTATCTCTTTCAAAAATAAATAAACATTTTTTAAAAATTAAAAAAAACCCAACAACTCACGTCATGATCCCAGGGTCATGGGATCAAGCCCTGTGTCAGGCTCTGTGCTGAGCGTGGCGCCTGCTTAAGATTCTCTCTCTCTGCTCATCTCCCCTGCTCATGCTCCCTCCCTCTCTAAAAGAGAAAAGAGGGGCGCCTGGGTGGCGCAGTCAGTTAAGCGTCCGACTTCAGCCAGGTCATGATCTCGCGGTCCGTGAGTTCGAGCCCCGCGTCGGGCTCTGGGCTGATGGCTCAGAGCCTGGAGCCTGTTTCCGATTCTGTGTCTCCCTCTCTCTCTGCCCCTCCCCCGTTCATGCTCTCTCTCTCTCTGTCCCAAAAATAAATAAACGTTTGAAAAAATAAAAAATTAAAAAAAAAAATTAAAAAAAAAATAAAAGAGAAAAGAAAAAAAAATAATTTAAACAGAATAAAATGTTTTAATATATAATATTAATATTTCTTTTTTTAATTGTTTTTGAGAGAGAGAGAGCGTGTGTGTGGGCATCCACGCATCAACAAGCAGGGGAGGGGCAGGGGGGAGAGAGAAAATCTTTTTTTTTTTTAACGTTTATTTATTTTTGAGACAGAGAGAGACAGAGCATGAACAGGGGAGGGGCAGAGAGAGAGGGAGACACAGAATCGGAAGCAGGCTCCAGGCTCTGAGCCATCAGCCCAGAGCCTGACGCGGGGCTCGAACTCATGGACCGCGAGATCGTGACCTGAGCTGAAGTCGGATGCTTAACCGACTGAGCCACCCAGGCGCCCCGAGAGAGAGAATCTTAATTAAGCAGGCTCCACGCCCAGCGTAGAACACACTGCAGGGTTCAATCTCATGATTGTGAGATCATGACTTCAGCTGAAACCAAGAGTCAGACGCTTAGGGGTGCCTGGGTGACTCAGTAGATTGAGTAGACTTCGGCTCAGGTCATGATCTCACAGTTCATGACTTTGAGCCCCCCATCAGGCTCTGTGGTGACAGCTCAGAGCCTGGAGCCTGCTTCAGATTCTGTGTCTCCCTCCCTCTCTGCCCCTCCCCCACTCATGCTCTGTTGCTCTCTCTTTCCCTCAAAAATAAACGCAAATTTTTTTTTAAAAAAAGAGTCAGACGTTTAACTGACTGAGCCACCCAGGTGCCACTTCTTTTTTTAAGATTTATTTTTAAATAATCTCTACACCTGACATGGGCTTGAACATACAACCCCAATATCAAGAGTCACATGTTCCACCAACTGAACCAGCCAGGTACTCTGGTATTTTCATTTTTATACCAACAATGATCAAATGTAATTTATACAGAGAGAGATACAGATATAGATCATGACCTGAGCTGAAGTCAGATGTTTAACTGACTGAGCCACCCCTCCCCCTTTTTTTTTAATAGCAGAGGGGCCCCAAAGGCCAAAGCGCCTAGGACACATGGAGGTCACAACGTGGCCCTGGCTATAGCCAGGCCTCAATAGAGCCCAGTGGAGCCATGGGGCCGTGGTGGAGCCACACTGACTCCATCTTGGGCACTGAGACCCTGAGCCTGGGGCAAGTACCTTATATGGTTACTTCATTGGCAGTTACCATGAAGCCCCCTCCATAACACACTCACACACCCATTCAGGTGCTGATCCAGATCTGCTTGTTTACCTCTACCAATGGGGATCTCACCATCTCTCAAGGCCACCCACTCACTACTCTGCCAGATCCATTACTACAACTTGTGCTGAAAATGACCTTTTGGACATTTGGTCCATGGTCCTGCGTCTATCCTTTATTGCACACTGAACGTTCATTCATTTAGCAGCCATTACCTGTCCATTCTCTGCCAGGTGCTCTGCTAGGCCCTGGGGATGCTAAGGTGAGGAAGGCACGGCCCCTGTCCTTAAGCTGTTCGGTCTTATGGGAGAGACAGATAAGTCACTGGTTATGACACACATTGTTAAGCAGAGAGATGCTGTGCCAGCTACCTTGGTGTCTCCTCTACTTCAGAGCTATGTGACCTCTCTAGGCCTCGGTTTCCTCATCTGCAAACAGGGCACTAACAGCATGTACTTCCCATCTCTGAGGGAGTTGCCGTGAGAAGGAAGTGAGTTAATATGTGTAAAGCATGTAGTGCCCGAACAAAGTACATGCTCAGTAAAAGCTGGCATGGCTCATTACCACTGTGGTGCACACAGAAGCCGTGGGGGCAGAAAGGAGGGAGCCATCTCTGGAAAGATCAAGGAGGGCTTCCCAGAGGAGGCGAAGTTTGAGCTTAGACATTTAAGATCGAGTAGGAAGAATTCCTTGGGTTATAAGGCAGAGAGGGGTGTCCCAGGCACTCCCTCAGGAGAAGGATATACAGAGACACAGAGGAGAGGACAGTGGAGGTTTGTGAGGACTGAGGGTACAGTTTATTCAGAAAGCTCTTTGTCTCTGGGTTCTCTGAAGCCGTAAACTTATGGGTTTTCAGCCTCCAAGGGCTTTACTGGGGAGGGGAGGAGGGCTGTGGCTGGCTGGTGCTGTGGCACCAATCAGGTGGAGAATGTCCTGTTGTTTAACGTGTGGCTTCTCCCAGAAGCCAGAGACCACCTGAGCAGTGGAGACAGAAGGCAGGAGGCAGAACCCCTGGGAGACCCCCTAAGCAGCACCAGTGGGGTAGTTCAGATAACCCAGGGGCAGGAGTTAGCATATTTGATTCTAGTTCCAGCTCTGCTCCAACCCTTTATGAGACCCTCAGCTAGTCCTTGGGTCTCTCTGAGATTCAGTCCCCCCCCCCCCCCATCTGTTCAGTGGGGGTTAGTCCAGAGGCTAAGCACTCCAAGGACTGCTTCTTGAAGGTTCAGGCTCAGACCGGATAGGCTGTAGCTGAGGAGGGTCTGGGACCCTCGGGGCCATGTTCATCAGTCCCATTCTGAGCAGGCGTGTGAGCCCAGGAGTCCTGCCCCTCCAGGCCCTCCCTGCACCTCCCAGTAGCTAGGTCATGAGCACTGCTTCCCTGGGTGGGCAGTTGCAGGGAGGTGGCTCCTGCCCATCCCCCCACAAATACACATAGCCTGAGTGTGGCCCAGGGGGTGGGGGGAGAAGGTGGGAGGAACAGAGGAGGCCTGTCCTCTGGGCAAGGGGGCCTCTGGGCAGCAGCTTCCTGTGCGGTTCCAGGCTGGGGGCCCAGCCCACCTCCTGACAGAGGAGCCTTTCATGGGCCTGGGCTCTCAGGCTGGGGGGAAGGCTGGGCAAGGGGGCCAATCAGGTGAGGGCTGCCCCAGAATCTGCGTGTGGCAGAGCAGTGGGCTGGCAAACGTGTGCCTGTCCCAGACCAAGGCCCTCAGACCAGGCCTTGGAAACAGCTGGTCCCACTACCTCCCATTTTGCAAATGAGGAAGCCGAGATCCAGAGAAGAGAGGGGGAGATGTGTAAGATCTCCAAGGGTAGAGGCAGAACTGGAACCTAGGGCTCCTGCCTCCTAGCCCAACCACGAGTGGGGGGCAAGTGTGAAGCTTGGTGTGTGTTAGTGTTCAGTGTGTGGCTGTGTGTGTGCATGAGGGTTAATGCATGAAGCACGGATGATGGGCTTGCATGTTCTGAATTTGGGAGTGTTCGTGTGGGGGGTTGGGGAACCATCCAGGGAGCCAGGTGGGGTGAGGGGCCGCTGTCTCAGGCCTCATATGTGTGGGACCCCTTCCTGTACCTCCTTAGGACCCACCCTGGGGGAACGCTCCCCAATGCCACCTTCTGCCTCATCCCCGGCCACCGTCCTGATGCCTTGCACTTCCTTCAAGCCCTGCAGGTACAACCCCAACTTAGGCATCCCCTGTCCCTGTCCCCCACACTCCGGAGCTGGCAGGGTACTTCTGGACTCAGGCCAACGGGAAGGGGCAGGGAGCAGCCCATTCCTGTACTCTGGGACTCAGGCGTGCCTACAGCCACACTCACCACACCCTCTGTAGAATAACCCACTTTTCTCTCTTCTTTGCCCCTTGCCCCCAACCAAATCAGCTGCTAATTTGGAACCAAGGGAGGGGGAATGTGTGTAGGATATAGGACTGGGCTCCCCAGTGACTCCTGTTTCCCCCAGGCTGGCTGCATCCCTGTGCTTCTCAGCCCTCGGTGGGAGCTGCCCTTCTCCGAGGTCATCGATTGGACCAAGGCGGCCATTGTAGCTGATGAGAGGCTCCCATTTCAGGTAGCTCAGGGCCCTGCCTACAGGATGGGGACTGGCCCCCAGACTGATCTCAGTCCTCATTCCTATCCTCTTATGTGCATATTGATGATTTTGCCCCAAACCCCAAGCCTCTGGGGCTCCCAGAGGATCAGAACTCCTGAGGGTACTACGAGCAAGTTGTGAGCCTTTTCCAGCCTCAGTTCCCCCATCTGTACAATGGGATAGGTTAGATCAGATGATCTCCATGGGCCCAGCTCCACTGGTCCATGACTGGACTAACTTAAAGGAAAGCCACAGAAAATCCCAAATCTGACTGCCTCCATGGAGGCTGGGGTGGGGAAAACAAAATGCACAGTGACTTTTCCAGCTGATGAAACTAACCTGCCTGGCTCTGAAAAACGTAGGCATAAGCCTTGAATCCCCTGAGAAGTGAGAGCGGTATGGCAGTTAATAATAATAGCTACCAGTCGCTTAGTCTCCACTATCTGCTAAGCACTTACTGTGTATTATCTCATTTAATCCTCACAATTACCCTATGAGGCAGGTACTAGTACCATCCCCTCTTTACAGATGAGGACAAAGACTCAGAGAGGTTAAGTAGTTTGTCTGCAGTCACACAGTTACTAAGTGGCATTTAGGCCCAGCTCTGTGTGACCCTTGAACTCTTGACTGCTAAGTCACCTGGGACTTGGCCAAGGGTAGCTGCAGCTAACCCACTTGAAAAACCGTGGGGAGAAGGCTTCTGGTTCCCAGACCTCCAACCTGGATTGTCCCTACCCCAGAGTCAGTCAAAGACAAGGCCCCGTGACTTCTCCTTTTCTCTCTCCGTGCTTCAGGTCCTCGCTGCCCTCCAGGAGATGCCCCTCACGCGGGTCCTTGCCCTGCGTCAGCAGACCCAGTTTCTATGGGATGCCTACTTCTCCTCAGTGGAGAAGGTCATGCATACCACTCTGGAGGTGAGGGGCACTTACATGCTGGGGGCCATGGTGCTTGGCTCCTGCCTCTCCCCTGCTCCTTCTCCGCACCCCTCTCTCTGGACACTTCTTCTGCCCCAGTATTTGGACGTCCCCCTTGAAGATGCCTCAGGATGAATCTGAGACTTGACTCTGAGCTCTTGGACAAGTGCCTTCTCCAGTCTTGGCCTCAGTTTCCCCCTCTGTAGAAGGACAGCTCTGGTCAATAGATTTCAAAGCACGTGCCACCTTGCCAGGCCAGGTGATGGGCAGTGGCTGCCTGGGGTGCTGGGTTAAAAGGGATTCTGGGTCCACAAAGAATGTCACAACTTGCTAGCGATGTCTGCCATGAGTGAGGAAAGAAAGGGAGGGAGCAAGCACATCGTCATCCGCCAACTCCGGACACCATCACTGAGTGTCCCTACTCTGGATTTCTGCGCCTGAACCCCTTGGTGACGCAGCTGCTGCCCTCCCTGGAGCCTGGAGGGGGAGGGGCGGGGCTCCGCCAGGGCCCCGGCCGCACTTCCCCAGACCCCGCCCACAGCCACGCCGGCCACTGCCTCTGCACAGCCCTCTCATTTCACAGATTATTCAGGACCGGATCTTTGGAGCATCTGCTCACGCCTCGCTACTGTGGAACAGCCCCCCGGGTGCACTCCTGGCCTTGCCCACTTTTTCCGCAAGCCCCTCGGACTTCCCCTTCTACCACCTACAACGGGGTACGCCCTGGGGGTGGGACAATGGGGTACGTCCTAGGGGTGGGACAACTTGAAGTCCCTTCACCAACTCTTTCCAAGTCTGTCCCAGCCTCAACCATACAGTCCCGCCAAGCCCTTCCCTGGCTCCCGGAGTCCCCAGCTCAGGTCACTCTTTAGGCGGTCCGGTCTCCTCCTACCCTAACAACCGTGTCTCATTCCCTCAGGCTCGCGCCCTGTGGGCAGGTTCAGCGCCCTGATCTGGGTGGGGGCCCCAGGTCAGCCCCCTCTGAAGCTCATCCAGGCGGTGGCAGGCTCCCAGAACTGTGCCCAGGTCTGTCCCCTTGCCCGCTGGGGTCTTGGGATCCAGGGTGGTGGGGCGGGACAAGGTCAGGGCCCTTGAAGACCATCTAGACCCCAAGCATAACCACGCATTTTGTGGGGAGGCACATCCCTGCCCTCCTATTTAAGTCCCAAGTTTCTTGTTCCTTTCCTCCCTCCTTCCCTCATGGAAATTGACAAAATCATCTAAAAAGCAGGTGCCCCTTGGGGAGGCTGGAGAAGTAAACATACATTCATGTGTTAACCCATCGGTCATTCTCTGAGTGTCCGGCCATGGGCTTGATGCTGGGGATGCAGAGAAAAAGCAGGAAAGCATTCTGCCCTGGATTCAGATTCAGTCAGCATTCCCTTCCCTGGCACACACTGTCAAATCTCACTTCCAGAGAAGCCACGTAGCCTTGAGAGGATTCACAGGGGAGGGAAGCACTTAACTCAGCCAGCAACAGACAGAGCAGATCCACAGATGCGACATTTGAGCTGGGCTGAGAACGATAAAGGAGCAGAAGAGAATGAAAGCCTTTTGAGAGAAGATGGGGATGGGACATGGGGTCAGGACCCAGGCTAGGGGTTACCACAACTGACTCTATCTCCTTTTTTAAATGTTTATTTCATTTTGAGAAAGACAGCATGCTCAGGGGAAGGGCAGAGAGAAAGGGAGGCACAGAATCTGAAGCAGGCTCCAGGCTCTGAGCTGTCAGTCAGCACAGAGCCCAACGTGGGGCTCAAACTCACGAACTGCGAGATCATGACCTGAGCCGAAGCCAGACGCTTAACCGACAGCCATCCAGGTGCCCTGACAGCTGACTCTCTTCAGTTCTAGTGCTATAGGTAGCTGCCTTCGCGTCACTGGAATTTCTGCCTTCCAGAATCCCAGAGGCAAAAACAGGGCAGCACTGAAAGACCTTGGCTCCAACTAAACTCTTGCCCAAATTCACAAACACAGCTGCTCTCCCTTCAGGAACACCCCCCTTTCCTCCTAGATCTTGGTTCTCTGGAGCAGTGAGAAACCACCCCCATCCAGGTGGCCTGAGACAGCAGTGCCCTTGACAGTCATGGATGGGCAGAGGAAGGTGAGGAGAGGAGCAGAGAGGGGCACAGGAAGGAGGGATTCTGCCCCTGCATGCTGGGAACTGGGGAGGGCACACACAGAGGACTCTATTTGGGACTGAGCCAAATCTGGACTTCAAGTTAGGCCTGAGGCTAGTGAGGAAGTCCTCCCTTACTCCTCACTTAAGTATCTCTCCAGGCAGACTTTGTTCTCGTGCTGTGGCAGAGCTTCCTGGAGCTGATGGTCTGACGTGGGTTTCAGCGGCAGACCTAATAGAAATGATTCGCTTCCATCCCTGGCCCTTCTGAATTGTGCTTCCAGAGAACGGGGGTTTTATGTGATGAAAGGAGGCAGAGGGAGTAATGTCGGCTGTCTTGGATGAGCTAGAAGAGAGACCTGGGACCTTAAGGAAATGGGGAGAGGTGGCAGCAAATTGGGCCAGAGGAGGGTGGCTTCTAAGAGCCCCGGATGCTGTGAGCCACCTGTGTGCTATGTGCTTCTGGGCGAGGCCCTTCATCTCTCCAGACCCGTTTCTTTCACATGAAGGATGTCTGACTACCCCTCGCAGGGTTGAGGTAAACATGCAATGTGACAAGAGAGGAATCTTGAGGTGTTGAAACCAGAAGGGCCCCTAGATACCAACTGCCCCATTTTACCAAAGGAGAGGTTGAAGTGCAGAGACGTCGAGTGAGTTCCAGGTCCTAAGTCCAGGAAGCCTTGCTGTTTGCACTGCCCTTCCTTCTACAGCACGTCCGCAGGGGCTCCTGCTTAGCAGATATGCAGACAGTCACCGTGGGAGCCTGGGGACGGTTCCCACGGCTGAGGTGGCCTCACCTCCCTCCCACTGCAGGTCAGTGACCGCTTCTTCCCGCACAGAGCCATCAGCACGGATGCCATCCTCAGCCTCGATGGGCACAGCAGTGTTACCACAAGTGAGGTGAGGGCTGGGCCCACGAGGAGCCCAGTGCGTAGGGGGGACAGAGCCTGAGGGCCCCGGAAGCCCCTCAGATTCCTGGAAGGGGGAGGGGCAGAGGACCAGAGCAGAGGTAAACCCTCCCACTTTTGAAACGATCCCAGGGAGCCAATCACCCTTGTGCTCCACAGACTCTTGAAAACAATTTTCGCCTCCCAACTGAAAAAGCATTGTTTCCAGCTCCCAGTTGGGACACCCCACCCCCACCCCCAAGCACTCCTGGAGAATTTTACGCTCGCATCTCCTCTCCCCTGAGTCCCCCCAGCTAGGCCGGCCTTGCCTCCATATCTCTGGATGTTCCCAGCCGGTCCGAAAGTCCCTCCTCAGACCTCGCTTAACTATCTCGCCAGGTGGACTTTGCTTTTCTGGTATGGCAGAGCTTCCCCGAGCGGATGGTGGGCTTTCTGACGTGGAACCACTTCTGGGATGAGGCCCAGGGTGGCTGGGGCTACACTGCTGAGAGGGCCAACGAGTTCTCCATGGTTCTCACGTCAGCTGCCTTCTACCACAGGTAAAGATGGCGGCCCCGGCCCTGGGAGCAGAGGGCCAGAGACGCCCCTCTCTGAACCACAAGCAGGGTGGTGTGGGAGTGAACATAGCAGTCACTATGTGACCCTGGAGATCCAGGGTCAAGGCCCAGATCTGCCACATCCCAGTTGTGTGATGGGCAAGCCTCCTCACCTCTTGTAAGGCTCAGTTTTGTTATCCGGAAAATATCTTCACCTCACAGGGCTGATGTGAAAATCAGGTAAGAAAACCCTATGAAGGCCTTGGCACACAGATGGTCAACAAATGGTAGCTAGTGTTGTTTTAAGTAGAGCTAAGTAGAGGGTATAGACAGTGTTTGGGTTTGGCGATGGTGGTGACAAGAGAAGGATCCTGAAGCTTTATAAATGTGTGTGTGATGGGTTGGGGACTGTCCCAGACCTTCGAGAAGTTGACCGAAGCACCTGTCTTTGGGGCAGGGACTGAATTCTAGAAGGCTCCTTTAGAGGGGTTCCTTAGACATGTTTAAACCAAGTGTGTGTAACCTGGAACCTCTAGTAGATTCTGCAGGGGATTCTCAGCAGGTGAAGAATACCCCTAAGGTCTGCAGGGTGGACCTAGGTTGTCCTGTAGGAGGACTGTGTGAAGCAAGGCTCACCCAGAGCAACATCAGCCTGGTTAATCCACAGCCTTCCCGAAGCTGGTCTTTGGAGCTGCCATATTTAATGGCCTTGGAACCAGCTGATCCCCCACCTCATTCTGGCTGAGTTCAGACTTCAGAACCCAGGGGTGGGGGCCCTAAGGAGCTGTAAGGGAGAAGGCAAGGAGTACACCATCTGCTGAGCACAGATGTCAGAACCACAGAGCACAGAACAGTAGAGAGAGGTTTGTGTTTCTGGTGTGAGCTCTCTGAGATGGCCAGGGCTCAGAGAGGGGGGCAGAGGGTTCTAAAGAGCCTTGGGGATTGAAGTCAAAGGGAGAGTGACGTCAGGAGGGAGGAGAATGGAGCCCGGTGGGGAGGGGTGGTGTGTGAATTTGGCTGCAGCCTCTGCCTGTCATTCCCCTTTGCCCAGGTATTACCACACCCTCTTCACCCACTCCCTGCCCAAGGCTCTGAGAACCCTGGCCGATGAAGCACCCACCTGTGTGGACATCCTGATGAACTTCCTGGTAGCAGCAGTCACCAAGCTGCCCCCTATCAAGGTGCCCTATGGGAAGCAGCATTTTGAGGCCACACCTCCACTGGTGAGGAACAAGGGGGACAGGTTGGCACTGGGAGGGCACTGGCTGGGGAAGGGATTCCCTCTCACTGTCTAACTCAAATCCTCTTTGCTTCAGGGTTCGGGGGCTTTGGGGAGGGGGGGTGGTTCGGAAGGACAGAGGAGACCTCCAACGCATTTCTCCTCCCCTTTAGGTGCCTGGGGGTCCGGAGCCACAGCCGACAGCCCGAGACTGCATCAACCAGATGGCTGCAGGTTTCGGCTACATGCCCCTGGTTTCCTCTCGCCTGCGTCTGGACCCAGTGCTTTTCAAGGACCCGGTGTCCGTGCTGCGCAAGAAGTATCGCAGCCTGGAGAAGCCCTAGGAGCGGTCAGAGGAGCCCCCAGCCCTGCTCCCACCGGGCGCCTCACCTGCTCAGGGCGGGGGAGGCGGTGCATCAGCTCCCTCCCTTGGAACAACTGGAGACCCAATCAAGGCAGCCAGTTAGCTAACACGTCAGATCTCTCTTGGCCAATCACAGCCCTAGCGTCCCAAGGCGCGGGGCCCCGCCCCACCCTCCAGCCCGGCTGCGAGGGGCAGGCCCCAGGTGCAAGGCGCTTGCCCTGCTGCGGCGCCTCTGCCATCGCTGACCCCTTGCCTGGAATGCCTTTCTCGGCTTCTGCGGAACTGACTTCTACTTGTCTTTCAGATCTTCGCCTTCTCCATGGATTTGACTGACCCCCATCCCTGACCCGGATCCTCTGAGCTTTCACAGCCGGGTGTTTCCCACACTGTTCGCGCGGCTTTGCAAGGTACACGGTCAGGCCCCAGGACTAGCCTGGGAGCCCCGGCCATGTCCTCTTCTCTCTGGCTTGGCAAGTGTTACACCAATATTTGACGAACAGATAAAAGAGACATCAACTGCGTGCCCGGCCCTGTGCCGTAGTTGGGAGTATGGACAGTGTGTTGAGTGAGACCAAACTCCGTCTCCCCCCCCCCCTCCGCCCCCCGCCCGCCCCTCCACCCGGCCCACGGGGTTCCCAGTCCGGCAGGAAGGCAGCTACCCGCAGACGCCTGTGTTGCCAGGCACGATCTTCGCACCCCAGCAGTGGAGCAAAGAGGCGCTGAGAAGCTAGTTTCGGGGCTTTCTTCCCGACCTGGCGGAGCATGGGGCCGGGGAGAAAGGGGCTGAGAACGCAGGAGGTCCGTCCCAACCGAGCCCGGGGGTGGCGGGGAGCAGTGGTACCCTCAGCTCAGGCCTGGCCGTGGCTCTGCACTACCAGCCACGACCACTAGAGGTCAGCGCCACACCGCGCTCCCTCTGGGAAAGGGCCCGGAGTTTTATCGCCCCTTGGGTCAGGGGACGTTGAGAGTTGGTGCAGTGCAGCCCAGGATCTGAAAACTAGGGGGAGGGGGGGGTTGAATTTGAAAAAAGAGACCCACTCCTTTGGCCCACACACTCAGGACTGAGAAGGAGCCATTTCTAGGTGGGCTGGGTGGGAGATGGGATTGTCCCGAGCACCCTGGCCGTGACAGTGGAGTGGGGGAAGGGGCCCTGGTTTCTCCAGGGTTCATCCACCTGGAACTGGACTTATCACTTCCGAAATAAAGCGCGTGTCCTTGCCCCCTCATGCTCGGGCTATAAATACCCCTCCAGCAGCTGCGCGGGGGAGGGGGACTCAAGGCTCGCCTGGGACTCGGCGACTGTAGAGAGGTGGGGGTGGTGGGTCCAGCCCAGGTCCAGGGTGTCAGGTGTTTTCCTGCTCTGATGGCCTCACAGCTTTGGAAACTCTCGTGATCAGCTCACCCTGGCCAGCGAGAACATGCTGTCCAAGGCTTCCCACCCCCATTCTCCAGTTTGACCTCTGGCCCTTGGATGATTCAGGTCCTCCCTGGAACCAGTCACAGCTGGGGTGCAGAGAGGGCTCTCCCTTGGGAGGCATGGGGCTGCCAGAGTATTGTGGGGGGGGGGGGGACTGGGAGTTGAGGAGGGAAGGCATTCTGGCCCAGGGTCAAGAACAGTTGAAGGTGGGTGAGGGAGCACACAGCTGTGGCCCAGGCAGACTTCCCAGGGCAGGGAGGGCTCTGAGTGCCAGGCCCAGCCAAGGGAAAGAGGCATCTTTCCCCTCCCCACTCACAGCTACAGCACCCAGACACTGAACTGGCTTGGCACAGCCTTACCCACGGAGGGCACTGCCAGTCCCAAGGGCTCACACTGTACCAACATGCAGCCCAGAACAGGCTTTCAGCTCCTGCTGTAAAGGGAGGCCTGGGTGACTGAGGTAGAAACCCCAGACCTGCTTTACACTGGCCATGGGCCTTCAGGCAAGTGACTCCACCTCTCTGGCTTTGGTTTTCCCATCTGTACAAGTGTAATACCACAAATACCCTCTCTTGAGAGGGCTGTAAGGATTTGACACCCAGTAGAGGTCAAGATCCAGGTTCCTGGGGCCTGCAGTGGCTGCAGGGGAGAGGGGGTTTGCTTCTCCAGAGATTGGAGTAGAATAGAACACAGCCATCCGCAGTACCCCCCCCCCCCCACCACACTTCCGAGCCACATGACTTCCCACGGATTTTGAGGGGATGAAGAACCTACTGACCTAGATCACAGGTAAGCCCGGATGGCCATACTTGAAAGGCACAAAGAGGTTATTTCACAGAGGGGAAGAAAGAGGTTCACGGGGGAAGGCGGGTGACCAACCCCTCCTCTTCCAGTCCTGAATCGGGGCAGAGTCAAGATCAAGTCAGTGCTGCCCCTGGGAAGCCCACCTGGCTCCCCGGCGAGTCAGCCTCATGCTGCACCTTTCCAGCCTGATGATCAAAGTAACCGCTCTTCAAGGAACACCACGGGCTTAAAAGGCTTTGGCTCCAGTCCTGGCAACAACCCTGTGATGTAGGTTCATTCGTAGTCTCTTATTCTCGGATGAGACCCAAGGGCACTGGCTTGTAAAACCCAGGGCCACCATATGACTGGGTGTTCTGCCTTCCCTGGGAGACTGGGCACAGGTCTCCCCTCTTCGTCTCGGAAACACAAGCTGCCCCTGACTTGGGAGTCTGCATACACCTCAGGAAGCCACCATCTCCCATCCGTTGTCGTCCATGCTCAAGTTCTGAGCAGGGTAGGCTGGGCCAGCTTCAGAGCTGGCCCAGGGGCTGTGGGGCTGTTAGGGCAGGACCCAAGCTGAAGCCCCTGCTGCCCCCCCCCCCCCCCCCACACACACCAGTGGCAGAGGCATCATTGTGTTGGCACACGTGCCTGAGCTGGAGGAATAAGGAAAGAAAGCAGCCAGGTCCCTACCTGGTCAGAAGCCTCCTCCCTCCAGGAAAGAGACACATTTGGCTCACAGCTGAAGTGACGAAGGCACAGACAGGCCTCAGGGTCCCCCCGGTTTCCCCTTCTCAGGGGGGACATGTGTAAGCGTGCGGGGTGCTCTCAACTCCCAACCCCCAAGGTCTCCTTAAACCATATTGTTATAGGCAGAGGGACAGACTGTCCCGGGGCTTCTGCGTAGATCCATAAGGCAAAGGCCAGACAGACTGAAGGGGGGAATAAGACAGTGGGCAAGGGGACATTGAGGCCAGTCTCCCCTCTGTCACTCCTCGCTGTGCCTCACCACCTTTCCTGAGGCTGGTGGTAGCAAAGCTTTAGCTGAGGATTAGGCCCAAACCCAGCCCTGCTAGGCACCAATCCAGAAGCTGGAAGGGCTGGGTCATAGTAGCTTTACACTTGCCGTCTTCATCCTTAAACTGGCTGTAGTCAGATGGGGGAGGCAGGAAACAGTTCCTCCACACTGAACACAGAGCAGAGGTCAGGAGAGGGACCTGCTTTATAACACGGCCAGGATAGGCAGCGTTCTGGCTGGGCCTGGGGGACACTCCGCCCCACCACCTGCAGGTCCTGGCCATGGCTCCGTTGGCACCTGGCCAGGCAGTCAGTCCGAGGGGCCTTGGCACGCCTGACAGTCCTTCATGTCCTCAGAGTAGTCTTCAATCTGGATGGTCATAGTGTGGAAGTGGAACTTGCCCTGCAGGCAGGTGCTGGCTGCCTTCAGCACGACCTGGGCGTCTGCATTCTGAGCTGGGGGCCAAGAGGACACCCCAGGGGAGGGACCAGAGAACATTTACTCACTCTTGGGCCCTTAGGAGCAATCGGGAGGCTATCACATTCCCTACCCCCAGCAGCACAGGATACAGGCATCAAGAAACCCCCAGAGGCCACTCCTGCATCAGGCAACCTCCCGGTCCCCATACCTGAAAGCACTGGCTTTATTTAAGGCTAAGAGTCTTTTCTCTGCCACCTGTTAGCTGTAAAAGCCCAGACAAGTGACTTGACCACCCCACCCCAGCCCCAGCCCTAGCCTCCTCATCTGTAAATGGGGTTGTGATGATCAAATGAAATCATGTCTATAAAGTACTCAGCATGGGGCCAGGTTCAAGGCACACCAGCAAACATCTGAGGTCGTTGGCTGCTTCGGGGATGGCCCCAGACCTCTGGCAGCCTCTCGCTCACCCTGCCCTGAGTATCCTGACCACTCACCGATGGCGATGTGGACAGACAGCACGGGCTGGGACACGGTCAGTGCCCAAATATGCAGGCTGTGCAAGGCTTCCACCCCTTCCACGGACAGCAGCAGATCCCGTACAGCTGTGAAGTCCACACCCTTGGGGGTCCCTGAGGGTGGCAGGGACAGGGGCTGAAGGAAACTGCTCCCCCACCCCCACCCCCACCCCCAGTGCTGTTTTCTGCTGTTCACATGTTGTCTCCTCAGAGACAACCGCTTTGGCCAGCAGATCTGATGTTGCCCCGCCTCCCAAATGATCTCCATCATATCATCCTTTTGTATTTTCTCTTCACACTTGACTCTGTCTGCAATTATCTTGTTCGTTTCCTGCCTGTGCCCCCCTCTAAAATGGAAACTCCATGAGAGCAGGACAGTCTGTTTTATGTACCACCATGTCCTCAGTGCCTAGAACAGTGCCTGGCCCATAACAGGTGCCCAGTGAAAACTTTTTTTGGAATGGAAGGAAGAAAGACAGAAGGCAAAGGGGGGACCCCTACACCCACATGAGGCATCAGCATTATCACTCGTATCTGGGTCAGTCACATTCTTGGGGAAAATGCTCTGACATGTAGCCAGATAACTCCTGCTGACTCCAAACCAGCATCCAACTTCAGACTGACCCTGGCCACACTGAGCCCCATGACCCAAGACCCTGGGGCACAAGAAAGCTGATGAATGTGGAATCTTGGGGCAGACCATCGGTCAGCGCTAAGGAAGCCCTTAGAGCCCGGCCATCCGCTCCCGAGGCAGAGGCCTCAGAAAGGAAGGCACTAAGCTGGAGTGGATTTGGTAGGCTTGTCCAACACCCACCACTTTTTTTTCTCAGCCTCAGTCAGTGTGCCTCCTCTGCAATGGAAGCAGAATCCTCGCCCCTTTCTCTGCCGCGGGGAAGGTCAATGACTGAGGAGGTGCCTGAGGGAAGGCTGTGGAGCACCAAGTGCTACAGACACCACTTAGAAGTTACCTGATTAGGCAGGGAGGACACATCCCAGCAGGGAGGGGACACCGTGGGGCTAGAGGGAAGGAAAGCACAGTCTGGTCCCAGGGACATTTCTAGGAACAGCCACACCTGAGGGCTCAGCTCGATGCCAAGACTGGCCTGGGGCCCCAGGAGGTGTTCCAGCCTGTGCCAGGCTCCAGACCCTGGCTCCCTGCCAATGTGCTGGGACTCCCCTGCCCTCTCCCCCCAAACCTGTTAGAACTGGAGAGCCAAGAACAAAAGGGGAGCCCCACGTCCAGGTTACCTTCCATCAGCACCAGGATCACATCTCTCAGGATGGTCAAGGTCGTCCCCAAGACCAGGATGGAGAAGAGGAAGGTGCAGATGGGGTCTACATACTTGTACTCTGGCTACAGAAAAAGGGGAAGGCGGAGCTTGGGCTCATCACTCAACACCTCAGCCTCCCTCTCCCTTCCCACCCAGTGCTGAGTCAGGGAGAGGGGTGCTCTCTGCATGGTGGGCACAAGCCTCACCCTGGCTCTGCCTCCCAGTTCTCCACCTTTTATCCTGTGTCCAGAAGAAGGGACAGGACAGATCATAGCTCAGGATAAGGCACGGTCCCTTCCCACACTTCCTTACCCAAGGGACTGAGATGTGGACAGAACGAAAAGGAATCTTGATGCCAATGGCCCAACATCTCATTTTATAGATGGAAAAATTGAAGATCAGTTAGAGCAAAGGACTACATCACCCCACTAGCAAAGGGTGGAGCCAGGCTTCAACCCCAATGCCTGGCTCTTTCCACTACATCACTCGGCCGCTAGGTGATGGACAATGCCCAGGCATTGGCAGCACGCAGGCCTGGGTTTGAATCTGGCTCCACAATTTCCCAGCTGTGTGACACCATCCAAGTCACTGAACCTTTCCGAGCTGCCGAAAACACCACCACCTGCTCTTCGGGATTGTTGTGAAGATCCCTGACACTTGGAAGGCATTTGGGTGAATGTTCCTTCCCTCTCCCCACACAGCTGGGAGGGAGCTAGAACCTGGAAAGGGCCACGTGTACACAGGAGCCCCCGGATAACTTACACTCCCCTGCCCACCCCAACCCCCTGGCCCACCTCCCTCTGTCCCCAGCTCTGACCTTGAAGTATAAAATATAGGCTGCCACCAAGATGCCTAAGCTCTGCAGAAAATCTCCAACCACATGGATAAAGGCAGCTTGGACACTGGGGTTCTCCTGTTGCTGGCTGGTGTCGTGGCTGTGCCCGTGGCCAGACTGGTGAAGAGTCAGCCCCATTCTACAGAAGCAGAGACAAAGCCGAGGGGCTCGCTGACCTAGCAGGTAGAGGCCACCCATAGGGCTGGCCTTCCTGTGGGACAAAAATCCTCACCCCCAGACTGCTTTCTCCTTTTGCCTTGTGAGGAGCCCAACCCACTTGCCTTGGTCCAGAGCACCACAGGAGAATGGGCTCAGCTCCAGTGCCAGGCTGGATCTGGGCACAAAGATGCCAAATCTTGGAACAGGAGGACACCATGGAGGTCATCTAGTTCCCCCCATCCATGTCACAGATGGGGAAGTTGAGGCCCAGAGAGGGAAGCGGCTTGCCCAAGACCACTGAGCAACGGAGAGAAAGCCCAAACAAGACCCCCGTGCTCCACACACCCTGCTTCTCACCGAGACCAACTTCAGGCACGCCAGCTTTGAAAAAGGACTTGGACCCCTAAGGGCCCTTAGGAAAATGTGCTCCTATAAGAACTAGACTCACCTTCCCCATTTCAGACATGAAGGTTCCCAGTTTATTCACTCACACATATGGGGGGAGGGGTTAGTGGTGGAGTTGATGCAGCCCCAGACTCAGAGCCCTCAGTGGCCTCAGCCTTGGCCTAAGGCAGGACTAAGGTGTCCCAGCTGCCAGAGCTCAGACCACCAGAAGTTCTGGTCCTGTGGCCCATCCGTGGCCTCCTTCCACTGAGAGCAGGCATGCAGATATGTGTGTGAAAAGCACGAGGACGGGGGACTCATAGGGAACCGAGGTCACACTCACATGATATTCACAGCCACAGCACAACCTGATGTGATCAGCATGGTGCCCCCCTCGACCTCATAGTCCCCAGAGATCAGTCGCTCCACTGCCAGGAACACCAGCACTCCAGTCACGACCCAGATGGATAGTACAGACAGCAGGGCTCCCAGGATCTCTGAGAAAGAACCCAAACCCCACCACCAATCTTGGCATGGGGCCCTAAGACTGAGGAGGCCTCCCCATCCCTCCATGATCCACCAGCCCCCTCCCTACAAAGTCAGGGCCTGGGTCCACGGGACTCCGCTAAAGGTATGGCCGGCATGGTTGTACCTTACCTCACCACTCATACATCAGAGGATGTCAGAGCTAGAAGGACCTTAAGAAGTCATCTGGGTCAACCCCTTTTGTTTTACATGTAAAGAAACTGACTTACTACAATAGGTACCCATTGCTCAGCTGACAAACTGAGGCTTCGGAGGAGAGACTGGGCCATCTCCCACCAAGAGGAGAATGACAGTACAGCCCAGAGATGAACTAAAGGGGGTTTAAAGCCTCTGTCTTCCAGAAGGCTTTGAGGACCTTTCCCTCCCCCGAGAGTTGACCCATGGAATTATGTGCAGCTTTAAGGCCACGGTCATTTGTTCTTGAAGTTTGACCATTTCATTTCTTAGGAAGGTGACCTCTCCTTCCCTGCAGACTAGAAGTTCCAAGAGGACAGGGAACCAGGGCTCCCCCATTGGACCGGGAGCTACCAAAGGATAGAAGCCGAGACTGATACGCCCAACCCAAGTCACCTTCTTGGCCTCGCTCAGGGACCCACCCTACTGCAGCCACCAAAGAACCCACGTCTTGACCGGCTTCCTCTTGCAACCCCGACCAGGGTCCTCACCAGCTCGCTGCCAGCCGAAGTTCATGGTCTTGGTGGCCGGTCGGGAAGACATCCAGAGAGAAAAGAGGCTGACGAGCATGCTGGCAAAGTCAGTGAGCAAGTGGGCTGCGTCGGTCATGACTGCCAAGCTATGTGCTAGATACCCACCTGCAAGGGTAGGACCAGGGACATGGGGGGGGGGGGGTCCTTATCAGCTCCCCCATGAAGTCACCTTCCCAGACTGTGTGTGCAGCAGGGAAACCATGGACTCTGGAAAAAGACCGTGGATTTGGGACCTCTCCACCCGTTAGCTGTTGAACCATAGGCAAGGGACTTACTTTCTCTGAGCTTCAACTTCTATCTGTGAAATGGGACAGACACGATCTACTTAGAGGGTGACTGTGAAAATCAAGTTCAAATATGCCCTGGAAAGCATAGTAGGCACTCAGTAAATGCTCTTTCCTTCTAGGCATTCAGGCCATCCCTTACACACAAGTTGTGCATGATCTTGGGCAAATTACTCAACCCTAATGTGCCTCAGTTTCATCATCTGTAAAATAAGAATATTAACACCCACGTGACAGTACAAAGTTGTGAGGACTGGATGAGATAACGTGTATATAAAAGACTCAGCATTATGAACATTCAATAAATGGGGCTATTCGCTTTGGTTTTTTTTTTTTTTTTTTTAATGAAGTAGGCCCCACAGCCAACATGAGGCTTGAACTTGAGACCCTGAGACTCCAGCCAGGGCTACCCTGGGGCCCTCCAGCTGCCCCTCTGGCTGCTCCAGCCCATCTGTGCCTTTGCATGTTCTACCAACTGAGCCAGCCAGCGCCCTGGGGCTATAAGTATTAATATTACTAGGAACATCCAGGAGAAAAGCTTTTCGGATCATCCAGACTATCCATGCTCCCAATTTCATTTAATTAGCACAAAAGTCCTTACCAATGACTTCCCCAATCATGAACACCAGGCAGATGGCAGAGGCCACATAAAGCTGTCGCCGGGCCTGCTCCTTCTTGGAGTCAAAGTGACTGCCAGGACCCTTCTGGGCATGACAGTAATGGTTGCTCTCAGCGGCTAGCTCAATAGCCTGCAAGTCCAGGCCAGGTGCGGGCAGAGGGGTCCAGCCGGCCCCCTCCTGCCACAGAGATCCAGTGTAAGACCTGGCCAGGGAAGAAAAGAGAGGGGAGACTCAGCTCTGAGATGGGGGCAAGGAGGGCTGACTCCAGTCCTTGGCGTTCCCATGTGTCCAATTGAAAGAATAGTTATGGACACTCCAAGCTCGACAGTCTCTGAGGAGTAACCAGAAACTCGTGTTTGGAGTGGGGTGCTGGGGAAATGACCAGTCCAGGAGTCTTGGGGTCTTGGTCCACGGTGTTCCCTCCTCCCCCACCTCTCTCAGCGCCTGGAGGCAGCAAAGACCTTGGGAACTGGCCAAGGGGCGGGGCCAGTGCAATCAAGCACGGAGAAGCAAGGCAGTTCAGGATCTGGAGAAGGGCAGACCCTCCTCTTGCGCACTTGGGGACACAGGGCCTCCCAGGGCGGGGCTGCCCGGGGGCAAAGTGTCGGGCCAGGGGCGGGGCTCCAGGTTTGCCACCGCACACTAGCGGGCGACGGGTCAGGATCTGTGCTCAGCCGTGAGGGAAGGATGATCTCGTGCCCACGCTCGGTTTTCCCTTCCCTCGCTTCCCCCAACCTCCCGTCCCTTCTGTGTGGTCCCGTTTCAAGCCTCCCGCAAAACCATCCACTGGAAACTGCAAACCAGGAGATGCGTCCGATGCCGCTCAAATGCCCGCTCCTCCCCAGGCTCTCGCCTTACCGGGCTCCGGGCCTGGCGTCCATCAGATGCTGCCTCTCCGTGGGCTCCATGCCGCCCCGCGCGCCCTGCGCTGGGCCCGGGAAGCCGCGCGCGGCCTCGGGGCCCAGGGCGCCCTGGAAGTTGCGCGCGGGACGCTGCGCAGCGCGCACCCACCTGCCGGGAGGGCCCCGCGCGCCGCTCCCGGGGTCCCT